TTGCAGTTATACTGAACCCCTCCCAGCTCCTCCTTCCCTGTGTTGCCGGAAAACACTGCTGCAAAGGAGCAGATGCTACAGAGGTGCAGCCAATGTTGGGACTGTTTCTGGTCAGGCACGGATGTAGGAGGTCAATGCTGTGGTGTGGCTGGCAATCCACCCCCAGCAGTGACTCTGATGGCAGCGACTGCAGTGCCACACTCTGCCCCTACCAGGACAAAAAGCCCTTCCATGAACCAGTGGAAGCTTGTGGTCAGTCCTCCAAAACACAAGGATATCCACTAGCAGGCACAGAAAGAGGCATGTTCACAGTCTGTCCCCCTTTTTGTCTAGTGTAAAGTAAGCATGAATCAAAAAAACCACTTGCTGCCCAAGTTTTACAATATTTTTTCTCCCTCTGCTCCTCATTTAGCAAACCAAGACTGTTAAAACTCAGGAAAATATTTCATGAGGCTCCTGTTGGGTAATGATTGAGTTGGTTGGTGTTGCTTTTGAATAAAAGTGATAGACAAGGGAGGTCAGCAATGGCGTAGGAAGGGTACAGCTGTTTTGTAAGCTACAGGTTACCCAGCCTTGCCAAGCAGAGGAGATGGGGAAAAGGAACCGTGGTCTTTGTCAACAGTCATCTGATTATTCCTGTTCCTTTAATGTGTTGCTGAGTCTGGTGGAAGGTGTTGCAGCAAGTGTTGCACAGATCTGCAGTATCAACAGCACTACACAAACAGGGACCTTCTGTTGACAGTAAAAGCAAAACTAGAAACAAAAATCCTGTTCTTTTTAACTCTCAGCACCAAAGTAATGAGGACTTCTGGTTTCTTTGCTCATTTCCAAGTCACTCTAGGTGACTTGACATTCTGCATAGCAAGGAACATGCTCAGAGGAACAAGCCATATTTTCAGATATCAAAGAATTATTTGGATAATTGTTATCCTTCCTCTCATCTCTCTGGTCTCCTTTGAGCTCACAGCTCAACATCTCTGCCCTGCCTGATGAGTGCACCCACCTTTTGTTAGACTGTGGTGTGTCAGCATCCTCCATTCCCAGTAATTTCACTATATGTAATGGATATTTACCTTTGACAACCTGAAAACCTGTGTCTTCCTGCACATACCCAGTCCTACCCCATAATCTCCCCAGCCTCTCACAGTGTGGTCCCTCCCATTCTGCAAATCAGAACTCTCTTTTGTTCGCTTCTCCAGGCAATCTTTACCTTAACTTTGCCTTCTTTTTTTCCCCTTTTTTTGAATTTGTTTTCTTGCTAGCCCCTTCTGATCATGGCATAACATTCCTGTGACAGTCACAGGAGTGGTTATGTCCCTCCCTCTGGAAGGTCTGTTTTGATGTTCTCAACATCTTGGGAACTTTATAATATAATAGGCAAGACTTTTTGTAAATTATGCATTAAAACAGGCAGTGCATGTGAGATTATCAATGTGAGATTTTGAGGTGCTTGCTTTGTATCCCTCCCATCTCTTCATCCATGGCAGAAAGTTAACCACCTGGGCTAGTGGCACCAAACCCTTGCAGGACATGTGGGTGGCTTCTGGGAAATGCAGGAAGGCCTGTAACTAATAAGAACTTTTCTGTCACAAGGATGAATTAGATCAGTGTGGGTCACTATAGGTGGCATTAGCACTGTGGCACCAGCTGGTAGCTCTTGAAATTCCTTCTATGGGGAGAAGTGTGGTGAACTGAGCTGAACTCTGGAGAGCAAGAAGCCAGTGGCTGGCAGCTTTCTTGACTCAAGGTCCACTGAGGTTGATGGAAATTCCCAGCATGGTGGCTCTGGCAATGTGGTGTCCCTAGTTCATAGAGATGAGAGTCTGAAGAGCACTTTGGGGAGTGCCCGCTTGGCTTGAACATGAAGGGTGGCTTGGACAGTGATGATTCTCCTGTCCTTACAGTGGATTGAGTGATTTGATTGAGTCATTATTTTAACATCAATAATAACTTATAATCATAATTTAATAGCAATAATAATTGATAAAATAACAATAAACAATTAATTTATTCAGTTCGTTGTGTTCATATAGTGGCCTAGGAAGGTCAGTTTGGAGCTCTAACAATCTGCAGGTACAGCCATTAGACTTACTCCACTTTTCACCTGCAAAGAGTTGAGCAGGGTCACTTTTCCCAAGAGGAGAGCACTAAATGCAGAGGCAGGACAGCTCTAGAGTGTGAAGGGTGCTTGGACTGCACCAGAAGGACACTTTCACAGCTTTTTCTCACTGGAAGCACATTTGTAAAGTGCATAGAAATGGGCCAGGAGGAGAACCTATGGTGCTGTTTGCACTTCTGCTGGTACACAGGTAAGTGCTCCTTCAGAGCAGAGGAACAGGACGTCTGCTCTAGCCACTGACAACACATGCAACACAGGATCCTGCTGCCTGCAGGACTTTACTATCTAAACAGTTCAGATCTGTAGGAATCCAGCTAACCACGTTGTTAGTCCAGGGCTCTGGGAGGCATAAGAGTGCAAAGTGATAGTGGGAAGTTGGGTGGCAGCAGCAGGGAGCATGGTATGAGGCCTGGGGAGCATCAGGCACAAGGCCTAAGTATCTTCATGAGACACACCACCATATAAACAGGCTCCATCTCATGTTGTTTTCACAGGCTACTGTACCCTACCCAGCTAAAACATGCTTAAAACAAATAGCAGAGTTTCTTAATTGAAGTTAAATGCTTTGGCTGGATGTATTTAATTTCCTGTTCAATTTTAAGCATTGGACAAACTCCAGCATCAATATTTTTCCTTTTTTTTTTTTTTTTTTAAATAGTAAATGCTCCTTCCTGTTCCTCAAATCATATTTGTGCCACTGTGAAGAAAACAGAGAATCATAATGTTCTTGGTGGCTTACAGGGTCTTTATTTCCCACTGCACATTGCTGAGAAGCTTATGAAAAGCTGTGACTCTTCAGGTCACAAATTCCAAAGCAGAGTTCCTTTTTCTTTGGACATCTGTGGCTAGTGCAAGCTCTAGCCAGTGCTGGAAGCTGGTTGCCCAAGCAGCAACCAGAAACTTCCTGAAGCAGCCTGGGATTAAACAAAATTGTAGATGGAGATTGAGAAAATTATTAATGAGCATTATTAATTAAATATGCCTGGATGTTCGAGGGGCAAAATGCCAGTTTAGGGTAGTTTTTAAATGAGTCCGTGACTGACAAGCAGTGATGAAACTGTCTGGTAATGAAACAGTGTCTTAGAGAAACTGAGGTGTGTAGCTACAGAAAAAGAAAGGTTTCCTTTGTCTCAAGAATAGAAAAGTCACCTAATGTGATGAAGGTTTAATCCCTGCAGATGGTCTGAAGCCACAGTATCTTTATTCTCTTCTCACTAACATCTGTCAAAAAGTTGTCATTGCTGCTTATGCCAAATGCCGGAGAGGGAACAATTTGTGTAAAACCTGCTCAAGATAACAAGGTTAATAGCTCAGCCTCTCGGGAAGCAGCCAAGGTACACTTAGCTGTGACAGTTTTCTTTCAGTGGGCTGGAGAGCTGTTATCAGCTGTGACAGGGCAGAACGGGTGGAATGTGGGGAACAAAAGCTCCACACAAAGGCAGCACTTTAGGTCCTGAGCTTGTCTGGGTTCCTCTGGCTTTCTAGAGGCCACACAGTGCTGGGACTGCACTGAGATTCTTTACCCTAATTAATATTTCATTCTCAGAGCAAGTTTCAAGTTATCCCTTGAGACAAGTTAAAGGTTTGCACATTTTGAGATGAAGTAGCAAGGTTGGTGAGCTTGAATTAAGTGTGTTGAAAGGAGCTGTTCCAGTCTTTAACCTTGGGCAAGGGACATGTAAACCATCCTGTATTAGTGTGGGTTTTTTATTGTATAACTTGTTCTACATCCTATTTTACAGTCTGCTCCAATAAATTTATACATAAATGCTGCTAAGAAACATTCACCCCTTCTTCCCTTTCTGCCTCCTCTGGACTAGTGCATCTGATATTCCATATTCTGTGGAGGTGTTTGTTTTCCAAACCAATCCACCAAATATATTTTATGACAGCAATAAAATAAAGTGGCTACGTGTCTGGAACTGCTGAGCTCAGCAAAGAAAGTGAAAAAAATGGCCAGTGAAGGGGGAGTTTCTGCTCCCATCCCTGGAAGCATTCAAGTCCAAGCTGGATGGGGCTTGGAGCAACCTGGTCTAGTGGGGGGTGTCCCTGCCCATGGGAGGGGGGTGGAATTGGATGCTCTTTAAGGTCCCTTCCAACCCAAACCATTCCATGATTCTGTGATCGGGCACTCCTACAGCAGAATCACATCAGTCATCACCTATTTAGCTAAAGGGGTGAAACTGTGTCACTCAACATGGACCTCATATCTAGGGTTGTCTATTCAATGGAATGGGAAAAGGAAAGGCTAGTTACTGGGAAAACAGGCAGAAAGAATTCCTCTGAGCTTCCACAGCAAGACACTGGCTATCCTGGGATAGCATCCACCTTTCAGCCTGCCAGATCAGGATGAGCCCGTGTGGAAGGAAGTTCTCCTCAAGGCTGAGCAAGAGACGGTGGCCTTGCAGCCTAGGTTGGCTGGAGCCATCAGATGGCTGTGGCACCGTGTCAAAGCTGAGCTGCTCCATTCAGCATTTTCCCATTCTCTTTGCCATGGGTTATTGTTAGTCAGAAGACACCAAATCTGCTGTGATTCCTCAAGATGCAGGTTGCTCAAGAGAGCAAAGTAATTACAGATGTCAGACTTGCAGACTGCAGGGACAGTAGGAAAAATGATGCCACAACATGTTGAGTGGTTTACCTGTGAGCTTACCAGGTGCAATTAGAAGAAAGCCCTGTCTGGCTGTGCAAGGAGAGAGCAAGAGGCACTTCATCCATCTGATGGCTCCATGGCATTGATATACCAGCTCTTTCACTGTGGTGTTAAGGACCTCTTGAGCACTGCTCATGCATCACTGAATGATGTTACCCTGGCATGTCACGGCCACTGGCAAACCTAGGTTACATGGGATGCTGTAGTGTCTCAGGGAAAACCAGTTAATTATTGTCCATTCACCATGGAGTGAGGAGGAGGAGTCTTTCCTGTGGCTGGAGGTACATCAGAGTGCTACAAAAGAAAGACAAAGGGCAGACTGAAAAAGAAGCAAAGGAATTTTTGGGGTCAGGGACTTCTCAGTAGGTCTGTGAGTAGCACCATGTTAAAGAGGGATTCAGCTCTCGGAAAGGGCCATTTACTCCACTCCACAAAAGCAGGAAAAATAAATCCTGAGACAGTAGTATGAAGCGGATGAAACATGAAGGCATGTGGCAGGGAATCCACAGATAACCTTGTGGTGAAAGTCCTCCTGTTATGTAGAAGAAACCAATACACAGTCTTTGTGCTACCTTCCTGATTGAACCATCCATCAAAGACAGTAAGTGCTGCCAACAGCCAGGTAAAGATGAGAGGTGTATGACTTGAAGGACAGTCCAGTGGTGCAGGGGACACAAGTGTGAGAACAGGGACTGACCACAAAACAGGCTCCACACACCTGCATGGTCCTCACAAACCTCTGCAGCAAAAGTGGAGTGTCTTTGTGAAGTGACAGCAGGTTTTGCGTGACCACAAAGCAACATCTGCAAAAGATCGGTGGTCACAGGGAGGCTCTGGCCCGTGGTACCCACTGCCCTCTCCCAGCTAAGGGTGAGGAATGAGTGATGGACACCATTACAGTATGGGCACGAGGCCCACGTGCAGGCTGACGTGAGGAGCTGAACCAAAGATGCTCTGGTGACCTCAGGAAGAAAGGGATGTGTTGTGTTTTGCCTGGGCTGCCAAGGAAAGCTTTTTAAACAGTAAATGAAGGGCTAATGTAAACACAAAGCCTTTTAAGATGTGTCTCCTTGTCACTGGAGGGACTACTAATTATGAATTTGATGGAGTTGGAGGTGAAAGGAAGACCCATGCTCTGCACATGGTTTGCAAACAGCTACTAGTGTGTGGAGGGGTGAGCCAAGGAGGGAGCCAGGGAGAGCGCAGAGCGTGGCTGGCAGCCCTAGGCTGTGCTGTGACTCCGAGAAGCTAAATGGAGCTAAATGTTTAGTAAATCCAGTTAGCTGGGGCAGAGAAGTATGAAAAGCTTGACAGAAGAGTGACCTAAAAATGGGCTTCAAAGTGTGTCTTCCCAGCAGACTGGAAACAGAAGGAACTCTAACTAATTATAATTACTACACTTTTAAGAGAAGAGGAGAAGCAGACTTTCTCTCATGATCTACAGAGAACAACTTCAAAACTGTTTACACTAAGGCTGTGAATCCTGCAGGATGGGTACTACAAATCCATGTCAGATGTTAATGGAAAGAGCAGAGTTTGTAGAGCACAATGGCACTGTGCCACTCTTAAGTAACCAACGTGCTCTCTGCAGCCATCAGAGCCTGGCCTCATCAGAGACGAAAGATGAACATTGCGTCTGCAGGATTAATGGGGCTGTGCTAAATTTCCTATTTTGAATGATTCTTGTCAGTTTAAAGACAGAAGCCCAAATGTTGTTAGCAATCATTTACCAGGAGCAGCCAACAGCCTTTTTGCACAAGAGCACAGAAATTACCTCCGTGGCGATGGCATCCTTTGCATTTTGAGCAGGGGATTTATCAATTTCCAGTTGCCAGTCACTGCAAAAGTAACATGTAAGGTGCACTTATTGCCTTTTGTGGGCAGCTCCACACTGGCAAAAAAAAAAATAATTAAAAAAAATTTAATTATTTCATCAGAGTCTAAAGAAGTGCCCAATACAGCACCCATTAAGCATGATGAGAACTACCTGAGGGTGTTAGATGCCCTCAGCCTTGCAGTACTAAACGTGGAACACCCTGTGGCCTCTTCAAAACCCTGTGGGGGAGGTGAAGTGTACCTCTGCTGCAGGGGAAACTGGACAGGCAGCAGGGTCCCCACATGGCTGATCTTGGGACAGAGCTTCAGGGCAGCACTGGCCAAGGATAGCAGCAAGGGACAGGGGCCAAGGCAGCCTGGGGGCTGCTGGAGGCATCCCATGCAGGTGTGGTTGGAGAGGCTGCATTTTCAGTGTGAGGCAGGGTAAGGAAAAAAATTAAGAAGTGACTTTTCTGTCTCACTGGCACCCACAGAGCTTTCACTCATGCTTGTTGGAGGCCTAATGGAGAGCCCTGCTGAGGAGCTGGAGAAAGACTGGGCCTGTGCCAGGGCCCCTTGCCTCTGCTGTCAGTAGTGGTGAAGGAAGAACAACGCCAGCCAGAGGTTACCCTGCTGCAGCCCCCCCGACCCTTTCTTATTGATGCTCTACTTCTTATATTACGTGTGTTGGATAAGAACAAATGCAGAGCCCTCCAGTGTTTGTCCAGGAAGGGGTGGAGAAATTGCTAGGGTCAACAGCCCATCTGTAGAGACAAAGACATGACTGCCCTCTTACCAACCCGTGCCATGAATGCCGGGCTCAAGCTGTGCTGTCAATGTACAAACACGGGGCTAAGCGACACAGACTATTTGGGAGCATGGAGCAAACTCCATACAGGCAATACATGGAAGCAGTAACAACTCAGGAAATAGGCAAGAGATTTGAAATGTCTGGACAGAATCACAGACTAAGGAATGACTTGTAACAAGCCCCTATATGTTCTTAGGGAAAAGATTGAAAAAAACCAAGATAATCCAGGAGTTAAGTGGCAAGAATGGCAACCCAAGAGGCCAGCCTTTCTGAGATGTCATCATGGCAACACCCGAGAAGCAGTATGTGAAGAAGGATGTCTGCAGCACTACCCTCAAACTTTACTGCTGGCTATGGATAAGGAAGGGGAAGAAATGCTTTGGGAAGTGTAACACCACTGTTGGAACTTCTGATGGCCATGCTGAATGGATCAGAAACTACACTGTCCACCAATTGCAGCTGCCCATCTTGCTGCTGTTTGGAGGCTGTCTGGCAGCCCAGGCCAGGAGCCAGGACAGGCTGACCTGTGTCCCTCAGCAGGGGAACTGGGCCTGGAGAAGCCCCTGTGGTTGTCAATGAGGACGGCTTGAGCTGTTGGTGAAGATGCAGCATTTGGACTCTATTGCTTGTGCTTTCTAAAGGCATCCAAAGAGGATTTGGTGAAATGTAGGGTCCTTCTGGCTGAACTCAGGATATGGGCAGTCAGGTCCCACACTATGTCACCCATGGCAGCTCTGGGCTGCAGCAAAGGGCAGCTGGAGCAGCAACTGTTCCCTCTTGTCATGGAATGACATCTGCAGCTCTGTACCAGTTTGCCTGTGCATGGTCTCCTGAGGGCTGCAGCAGCCACACACTGTCATCCGTGATTTCTGAAGGTGTTTTCTGCACAGAGTGAACCAGAGACCTACAGTGGCATCCTCAGGCTGCTGGTGGCTGATCACTGGTATGAGTCTCAGGGCATCCCCAAGTACACTGCAATAAACCTGGTACACAAGGATGGTAGATATCATCAAACCTTACTCCTAAGGTGCCAGGCACCTGATTACAACAGCTCCTCTTTACCAGGCTGCGGCTGTTTTTGAACTGTGAACTCCCCCAGCTGGTGAAGCTCCGCTATTGCCACCAGCCAGGTGAGGTGACCACCAGCCCAAAATGTCTCTGGGAGGACATACTGCAAGACCAACCCAAATAACTCAGGAGCACTCAGGGATGTCCGATCAGTTGGAAGCCAGAGAGGGAGCCGAGTGATCCGGATCCGCAGGACAAGGAGCTGAGGGAAGCCCAGCAAAGCCAGGGGTGCAGGAGCACAACTGTCTTGCATTGTGATTGGGAATGAGGTCAGCAGGTGTTTGCAGATGTCATATGCTTGGTGGGGTTTGTCTCTCTCAGGAAGGCTGTGGGATGCTGGATGGGAATGTGGGGAGAGTCAAACCCTCAGCAGCTGTGGGCACAGCAGTTTATCAATGCTCCAGCAATATCCAGGGGGGACATCACCCAGTGTGCTTTGCAGTGTGGCTTCAAGTGCACACAGCCACCAAACCTGGACCACACGTTTCAGGACACTCACACATTCTTGGGGGCTTTGTACATAAGAGGTTTGTAACAGGTCACTGACCAGTCCCAGTGGAGCTTAAAGCCCTCATCCCTAATGTATAAAAGCATCAGGAATGCTGCTGCAAAGCACAAATGGGAAGGCAGCGTGCACCAAAGAAGCTGAAGCTCACTGCCCAGCAGCACATACCTGTGTGTGGCCTTTAAGAGGCTGGTCAGGCTGCTGCAGTTCTCCAAGGGCCCAAGCCAGGGTCAGAGTCTGCAGACAGCAAATGTTGTACTCCTGATCCACCTGGTGTTTACATGGCCAGCAACCTGCTCTAGCACTTGCTGGAGGTCGAGGTTGCCAGGATCCAAAACATCTTTCCTTTTTTGGCTCCTAGCTCCTCATGGGTTCAGTTAGCCAACATAGGATGCCTGGGGGGGGGGGGGGGGGGGGAGTGGACAGGAGGGG